ACACATAAAAAGAATGAAAAAAAATCTATGTTTTTGTTGAAGAAAAAAGCACTAGGTTGTTTCAGATGGCTGTCCAGTAGTGAAAGCAAGAGGGATTTTCAAGGATTTTACACAGCTAAAGAGAAGGCCCTTGCTTTATATTTAAATCTTACCAAGGTGCCCTAAAGTGTAAGGCTCTATCCAGATAAGCTCTTAATTTATGGACAGAATATGCAAAGTAATTCCTTGTATCAAAAGCAGCATCATACAGAAACTGCAGTAAATTTTGTTCAAGCATAGTTGGATACCCCATATGGTCTGTCCAACAGAATTAAGCTGTGGGTTCTCTGGGAAGGGATGCTGAGGCTGAGGAAATGTTAGATTAAAAGAAATGAAGATAGAAACATAAAACAGACTTAGAGGACTAAAAGTCAATATGAAAGAGCCCCAAGTTATTTCTCAGGCAGTATAGATAGTGGGGTTTTTTTTTGTTTGTTTTTTTGAGACAGGGTTTCTCTGTGGCTTTTTGGAGCCTGTCCTGGAACTAGCTCTGTAGACAAGGCTGCTCTTTTTTTTTTTTTTTTTTTTTAATTTTTCGAGACAGGGTTTCTCCGTAGCTTTTGGTTCCTGTCCTGGAACTAGCTCTTGTAGACCAGGCTGGCCTCGAACTCACAGAGATCCGCCTGCCTCTGCCTCCCGAGTGCTGGGATTAAAGGCGTGCGCCACCACCGCCCGGCGACAAGGCTGCTCTTGAACTCAGAGAAATCCGCCTGCCTCTGCCTCCCGAGTGCTGGGATTAAAGGCGTGCGCCAGCATCGCCCAGCTAAATAGTGGATATTTTATGAGTTATTCTATTTTATTTTATATGTGTTGGTATGTTGGTATCAGATCTTGGGAAACTGGATTTACAGATATTTAGGAACTGTCACGTGTATACTGGGAATTGAACCCAGGTCCTCTCAAAGAGCAGTCAATACTGTTAACCGCTGAGCCATCTCTCCAGCCCAAATCTATTCTTCTTAGGAAATTTACTTGACATGAGACATAGCTTGTGCAAGACTTCCCTAACCTGTTTTTGTCTTTTCTGCCTTACACTTTTCCTGTCCTTCACATCCCCTGCAATCTCCATCTTGTAACTCTGGATAGAAATGTACCAAAATCAGGGCCATCAACTCTTTTAAGAGGCTAATGAAAAGCTTGTAAAAAAAGGAAGAAAAGTCTGACATCTCATGATCCTGTCACTGAAGATGGTCTTACTGTTTAAGGTTACTGGTTTATTTAAGAAATAATGCTCGAACCGGGCGATGGTGGCGCACACCTATAATCCCAGCACTCGGGAGGCAGGTGGATCTCTGTGAGTTCGAGACCAGCCTGGTCTACAGAGCTAGTTCCAGGACAGGCTCCAAAAAGCCACAGAGAAACCCTGCTCAAACAAACCAAAAAAATAAAATAAAAATAAAAAAAGAAATAATTCTGGGAAGACTTTACTGTGTAAGTCTTCCATCTGTCCAGGTGGGTAGACTTTTAGCCTTCCACCCCTATTTAAATTGTTCAGAGTATGGAGCCTTAACCTGAAAGACATAAGGATAAGAAAATAAGTGAAATGCAAAAAAAAAAATATTCTAGCCTGGGTCCTTTTGAGCATGAGTCAGAGATGTATGTGAATATTTTTAAATGATTTTTTTCTTTATTAATCTCTCAAACATGTGGAGTGATTTCTCCCTAGGAAGTCATATTAATTCTAGAAACGCTGTGCTTCTAGTATTTCGGAAATTTTTTTGACACTATCTATCTTATCTTGGCATAAGAGTATTGGTCCCTCCTCGCCTGAGCAATGACCTTGTCCTATGTTACACCTTTAAAATCTTAAATTAAATGATTCTACCACCAGTTTCAAAGTTATAAATTTGAGTTATAAAACTGAATATCCATTGCAGGTAAAGGAGAAAGATTTGCATGTGGAGAGTGTTTTCTACCTCAGTCCAGAATAGAAGCAACAGTTTTGAGTGTGCACTGCACAGGAAAATAGGACTGCTGGAGTCCCAATTATGAAAAAGGACCTGATTGTAGTTGGAGAGCAATTTCATTACTTTCCAGCATTCGTTACTTTTTTTTAATGAAGAAAGACCCGACTGTTCGGTGTACTATTTGGGAAGATCAAAGAGATGCCACATATTCACTGAAGGTGATAGAAATATCCCAAAACATTACATGTAAGCCACAACCTCATGGTGATACATAGATGAATAGAAATGGATGAATTGAACATGTAAAGTCTAACTAGGAATATGCCTTAAGCATTTTAAAAATGCTGATATAATTATATAGTTTGTGTGTGATTATTTGGGTCTAGGCAGCCAGAAGATGAAAGTGTAGTCCCCATTTACATTAGGACACCAAATGTTTGGCAACTAAGTCCACATAAACCCTAAGAAAGTTAAAAATGAGGGGTTGTAAAAGCACAAAAATGAAAGTCAATTGCAGGTTTCAATTACAAAACACTCCTCATCAGAAAAGGATTACAGATACACAGTAAAAACATTCAGATAAAAAGGCCTTTGAGTGGGTGATGGTTTATTTAATAAATGTCCATGGGCTTAAGATAGAGAGGATAAATATAGACAGAGCCATGGATTAAAAATGGTTTTTAAAGGAATTTACACTAATGTTCTTAAAGAAAAAAATAAGTAAAACAATTAATGGACCTTAAAAAGATAGAAACTACACACAGAGTCTGAGTTGCACATTGTGCTTTCTTTGAATTTTTGGGCTGCAGAGAGAGACATTGATTGGGGGCTGCGATGATAACCCCACAAAAACTTTAAAGGTATCTTGACTTCAAAATTTGTTACTTTGGAAAAGAGGCTCTGCTTTTGCTGCCATAGACTTTCCAGGCTAATGTTATGCCTTGGGTTTTTTGATTGAGTTGAAAACGATTATATCAGGAATACATGCAGACAGAATATTGTATACATAATAAATAAATAAATAAATATTAAAAAAAAAAGAAACCCTGTCTTTAAAAAAAAAATTGGGGGCTGGAGAGATGGCTCAGTGGTTAAGAGCATTGCCTGCTCTTCCAAAGGTCCTGAGTTCAATTCCCAGCAACCACATGGTGGCTCACAACCATCTGTAATGAGGTCTGGTGCCCTCTTCTGGCCTGCAGACATACACACGGACAGAATATTGTATACATAATAAATAGATAAATATTAAAAAAAAAAGAAAACGATTATATCGTTAACATTTCCCTTAGTTATGGTGTGTGTAAATTTTATATAAAAGTTTAGACTCACAAAGATAGGATAGACTTCATGTTAATTTGCCAGTTTTTCCTTTTCATTTATCTAGTTTTTTATCTCCAGAATCCTTCAGCTTGCATTTTTTTTCATGCTTCTATTTCAATTTTCACTTCTTGAACTGATATATTCATTTCTGTCAACTGTTTGCTTGTTTGACTTTCTTTAAGGGGTTTATTATTATTCTCCAAGATTTCATTTATCTTTTCCCTGTTTTTTTAAAGAATTCATTCACTTCCTTCTTAAGGACATAAAACATCTTCATAGTTGATCTAACTTAATTGTACTTTGACTGTGTTTGAATATTCAGGGTGTGCTGTAGTAGGAGAGTTGGAATATGGTAGTGACATATTGCTCTGTCTGTTGTTGATCATGTTATTGTGCTGTTGTCAGGTGTCTGGGTCTGAGGTGACTGCAGGTCTAGGTGCCAGTATCTCTGTTTGTCGTTGTTGGATGCACGTTTGGTTCCTTGGTTTCTATCTGCTCTTTGGTATTCTGGTCTGTGTTGCCTATGATAGAAGTAGATTTTTTCCCTCATTTTAGGGTCTGGAAGTCGTTCAGTAGGCAGGACATTAGTACTGACTAAGCATTCAGAGTCATTGAATTGTAGGTTCATGAACTTCTTCCTGCTTGTTATGCTTACTTTACATTTTTTAAATTAATAACACTATTTGATGCATCAGCATGGCTATGGACCACATGGGTACCTGGTTCTCAACATGATCAAAGGATCTCAGAGTGTGTGAACTTGGAATAATGGATAGTTATGATCCGCAAATAAGTACTGGAAATTCTGCCACATCTACTCAAGACCATCAAAAGCTAGGTACTACTTGGTCATCCCTCTCCCAGCTTGTGTTTATTATTTATGCCCAAGATTTATATTGCTAATGTTTTCATCTGTCCATTTGTAACTGTTTAAACATAAAGCTCTGTTTGTAAAATGTTCTTGGTATTACACTTTAAATAGGGCACTTCGGATGTTTGGAAGATAAATAGAGAAGTGGAGTGAATGCATGCTTCTTTGTAGGAACTACATTAAAAACATGTAAGTTCTTCTATTCTTCTTGCTTGATTCAGTGATTTTTGCAATGGAGACAGTGCAGTTTTGTTTGTTTGTTGTTTGTTTATTTGATTTTTGAGACAGGGCTTCTCTGTAGCTTTGGAGCCTGTCCTGGAACTAGCTCTCATAGAACAGGCTGGCCTCAAACTCAAAGAGATCCACCTGCCTCTGCCTCCTGATTGCTGGGATTAAAGGCATGCATCACCACTTCCTGGATGATAGGCTCTTACTATGTACTTCCACTTGTCCTGGACCTCATTGCATAGACATGTCTGGCATTTAACTCAGAGAAAAATATACCTGCCTCTGTTTTTGAAGGTCTGAGCTTACAGGCATGAGTCAATACACCCAGTGTGTCCAACTTATTTTTCTATTTGTAGTTAGTTAATCTCCATAAAAATTTCTCATTTGTACTATGAACTGTTGATCTGTTTCCTCGTTTCTCTCTGCTAATAGATATTTCTCTTGTAAGGTGATACCTCATTCAAAGAGTACAGAAATGACAGAGAAGACTCTCCTTTTCAATTTCCTTCTAAAATGACTGTCTATGTCTTGGAATATTATTAGGGAACACCAGAATTTTATGACTATACTATCAAAAAAGTATACATTTACAATGTTGTCACTATCATGTCACTATCATATATGGCATATTTTAGAAGGCAGTGACCTATGATGATGTGCTTATCAATTTCACTAAGGAAGAGTGGGATTTGCTGGATCCTTCCCAGAAGAATCTCTACAAAGATGTGATGCTGGAGACCTACAGGAACCTCACTACTATAGGTAAAAATGAATTTCCTTCATGTTTCAAAATAAAGGAACAACTTTTCCTTAGATAGTGATGTTCTTCAATAATTTGATTTAGAAAGGAGAAAAAGAATGAGGTGAATAACGCAGGCATGGTTCTAAGGTTTACTTAAAATAGCTACTTAAATGTTGCACAGTATTCAATATTATAACATACATTTTCTGGTACTGCATTTTAGGATACATTTGGGAAGAACGTAATAGTAAAGAACATTGTCAACGTTCTAGAAGTCACGGAAGGTAATTTTCTTGTGCATGCTGAAAACAATGAGCCTCTGATGAAATGATAATGTGTCCTAGAAGATTTAAATAAAGACAACAGTGTGAATAAGCACAGCTTTATTTATTTATTTATTTATTTATTTTGGTTTTTCGAGACAGGGTTTTTCTGTGGTTTTGGAGCCTGTCCTGGAACTAGCTCTTGTAGACCAGGCTGGTCTCGAACTCACAGAGATCCGCCTGCCTCTGCCTCCCGAGTGCTGGGATTAAAGGCGTGCGCCACCACCGCCCGGCAAGCACAGGTTTAAGTACATTTATAATTATTAACTTCTGAACAATTCATATACAATTTCATGTAGGTGAATTGCATTTTTAGGCATTCTTTTAATTAAAAAGACAAGTGAGAAATGGCTAAACAGATATCACCATTTGAATCATAGCACCATGAGAGCTATGCTGTAGATCTGCCAATCCATTTATTTCTTGCTACTCATAATACAAAATGTGTACACATTGAAGTGATGATAAGTATATCTGTAAGACTTTCTACTAAACTGAGAGCACATAGTAAATCTTGTATTACTAATACACTTTTTTAATTTTTTTTATTTTATTGAGAAAAGGAAAAAAAAGTTTCAGCTTTCTCCCAGCCTCCCATTTCTTTCCCCCTCCTCCCACCCTTTTTGCCCTCCCCCCACTCATCTCCCCCTCCCTCTCCAGACCAAAGAACAGTCAGGGTTCCCTGCCCTGTGGAAAGTCCAAGGTCCTCCCCCCTCCGTCCATGTCTAGGAAGGTGAACGTCCAAACTGGCTAGGCTCCCACAAAGCCAGAACATGAGGTAGAATCAAAACCCCATGCCATTGTCCTCATCAGCCCTCATCGCTCGCCATGTTCAGAGAGTCCGGTTTTATCCCATACTTTTTCAGTCATAGTCCAGCTGGCCTTGGTGAGCTCCCAATAGATCAGCCCCACTGTCTCAGTGGGTGAGTGCACCCCTAGTGGTCCTGACTTCGTTGCTCATCTTCTCCCTCCTTCCACTCCTCATTGGGACCTTGGGAGCTCAGTCCAGTGCTCCAGTGTGGGCCTCTGTCTCTATCTTCATCCATCACCAGATGAAGGTTCTATGGTGATATGCAAGATATTCTTCAATATTGCTATAGGATAGGGTCATTTCAGGTTCCCTATGCTCAGCTGCCCAAGGAACTAACTGGCAACATCGCCTTGGGCTCCTGGGAGCGACTCTAGGTTCAAGTCTCTTGCCAACCCTAAGGTGGCTCCTTTAACTAAGAATTGTGCTTCGGTGCTCCCCTATCCAACCTTCCTTTATACGAATCATCCTTTTTCCCCAAGTTTCCCCCATACTCCCCTTCTCCCTTTTCTCTCCCCATCTCCCCTTACCCCCATCCCATCCCACCCCCAATATCCCAATTTTCTCCCCGGCAATTTTGTCTACTTCCCATAGCCAAGAGGATAACTATATGTTTTTCCTTGGGTTCGCCTTCTTATTTAGCTTCTTTAGATTCACCAATTGTAGACTCCATGACCCTTATTTATTGTTAGAAACCAATTATGAGTGAGTACATCCCCTGTTCATCTTTTTGAGTCTGGGTTACCTCACTCAGGATAGTGTTTTCTATTTCCATCCATTTGCATGCAAAATTCGAGAAGTCATTGTTTTTTACCGCAGCGTAGTACTCTAATGTGTAGATAGTAGATATTCCAAACTTTCTTCATCCATTCTTCCATTGAAGGACATATAGGTTGTTTCCAGGGTCTGGCTATTACAAATAATACTGCTATGAACATAGTTGAACAAATGCTTTTGACATATGATAGGGCATCTCTTGGGTATGTTCCCAACAGTGGTATTGCTGGGTCTAGGGGTAGGTTGATCCCTAATTTCCTGAGAAACCAAAATCCTGATTTCCAAAGTGGTTGCACAAGATTGCATTCCCAGCAGCAATGGATGAGGGTTCCCCTTCCTCCACAGCCTCTCCAGCAAAGGCTATCATTGGTGTTTTTGGTTTTAGCCATTCTGACAGGTATAAGATGATATCTCAAAGTTGTTTTGATCACTGTTAATACATAAACAAACTCACAGTGCAGAGAAGCCACATGAGTTCTAGAATTGTGCAAATACTTCTGATTGTCCTAGTTCAGTTAGCAAATGTAGTATGATTCATAGTATAGGACAGTTTATGAATGTAATAAAGTTGTTCTGAGGTTATCCAGTCCTCTTCAAATATGACAAATATGTCAAATAGATAAATGTTTCTGTAAATGTGAAAAGTTAAACCACATAATAAAGGAAATTACCATGACAGGTCTCTTAAAAATGCAAAACAACCCTTAATTAGAGAAGAAAGCATGAGTTTAAACAGTTATAAAACCTTAATATCTGATTTCTATTTACAACTGGACTAAATTATAAAAGTAATACATAGAGATATGTAGGTTCAAGAGTGTATTGAATGTGGTTGGTAACACTTTTATATGTTCCAATTATGCTTGCAGGATTAAAAGAAATAATTCTGGAAAAAAACTTTCAGTGTATCCTCAATGTGTTAAAGCCTTGGTATCTGACAGTCAGCTTCAGAGGAATAAAAGAACACATGATATTGAGAATGTATCTAATCCATATCATAAAGCCTTTGTTCACCACAATGCTCTTCAGTTGCGCAAAAGAACACACACTGAAGAGAAACCCCGTGAATGTAATCAGTGTGGTAAACCCTTTGCACAGCCCTGTAATATTCAATTTCATAAAATAACACATACTGGAGAGAAACACTTTGTATGTAATCAGTGTGGTAAGGCCTTTGCACATCACGATCACCTTCAATTGCATAAAAGAACACATACTGGAGAGAAACCCTATGCCTGTAGTCAGTGCGGTAAGGCCTTTGCTCAACAGGGTACTCTTCGACAGCATAAAAGAACACATACTGGAGAGAAACCCTATGCATGTAATCAGTGTGGTAATGCCTTTGCTGAAAACAGTATTCTACGACAGCATAAAAGAACACATACTGGAGAGAAACCCTATGAATGTAATAAGTGTGTTAAGGCTTTTGCTTACCACAGTGCTTTTCAATTGCATTAAAGATCACATACTGGAGAGAAACCCTATGAATGTAATCAGTGTGGTAAGGCCTTTGCTCATCATGGTACTCTTCAATTGCATAAAAGATCACATACTGGAGAGAAACCCTATGAATGTCATCAGTGTGGAAAGGCCTTTGTTCAACATAGATATCTTCAAAGGCATAAAAGAACACATACTGGAGAGAAACCCTATGCCTGTAGTCAGTGTGGTAAGGCCTTTGCTCAACACCGTAATATTCAAAGGCATAAAAGATCACATACTGGATAGAAACCCTATGAATGTAACCAGTGTGGAAAGGCCTTTGCTCAACACAGTGCTCTTCAATTGCATAAAAGAACACACACGGGTGTGAAACAGTATGCATGAAATGAGTTTGGAAAGGTCTTATCATGTCTTATTCATCTTCAAAAGCAGAAAAGAACACAGATTGGAGAGAAACTTGTGAATGGAATTTGTTTTTCCAAATCCTTTGGCACAATAATCTCCAAATACATAAAACAAACCATCCTGGAGAGAAACTGTAAACTTAAGGAGTGTACTCTTCAAAAACATGAGAATAATCATACTGTAGTGAAAAAATAAACTTAGTGTGGTATATGTTTTGCAGTTTTTACAGCAGTAAATCTTTTTGCATGTAATCAATCTGATAGTTTTATGTACCTGAAGCCATCACACTTACAGTCTATTAACCAACAGTATTCATTCTGTAATAAAACGATAGTGTCAAAAATCTGTTCAAGCATTATGGTACCAGCTTTTATTTTATTTGCACCAGGAAACTAATGGACAAAACCTACTTTGTGAATTTATGAAGTTTTATGGGAAGGACATAGAGCCAGGAGAAGAATCACAACCTGGTATTGAAATGAGATACAAAGGAAAACACTTTGCCCCTAAATCCAGAACTAGTGAAAGATACAACATCACCCTGAAAACACAGTCAAACATCAAAAATGGACAGTGAAAGAAACCTGCTTTGGCTTTCAAACCAGTTCCAAAGAAATACAATCTTCCCTTTTCTCTCTGAGCTCAAAACCAATCCCAGAGCACAAAATCCAGCCCATCTCTGAGCTTGTTCAAACCCAGGCATTTAAATCTCACCAATTCCTGCATCCTAAATCTCCTTAGAAGTGCTCTGGCTCCAAGAAGCCCTATATGAGTCATATGCTCCTTCAGTTGGTAGCGGCCCATTTCCAGCCTTGCAGAAGAAGTCACACTCTGTATTCTTCGCTCCCAAATACATCTCTTGCCTGAGATTTATATGAACACCTTCTTTCACTGGAATGGATCAGGAAATCCCTAGTGGAGTTGACATCACTGTTTGGAAACTCACTTTGCCCAGAAGAGCACAGAAGCAATGGACACCTCTTATGGGAGACTCCCTTAGGAGAGTGGAGCAGGTCAGCAACAGACATTTCTGCTGGGAAGCTTTCATAGAAGAATGGAGCAGAGCCCAGCTGTAATGACTGTCTCTCAGAGAGGAACAGAATTGCTACATCTAGTGGGACCAACTTCTTTTCACGGCTGTTGGTATTGCCTAATTTTCGGTAGTCAGTATATCCTTCCTTTCATAGCTTTAAGACTTGCAGGATGAATTTGAACAATAATGTAACCCTTAGATTTTATACTTCTCTTCAACAGCATGGAATATGTAATTCAGGTGCAAATATTTATGGATGTGTACTGCCTCCTTTTCGGTTGTGATATGATGTCTATTTCACAATATAAAAGCATCTTATTGAGGCCATGGTTCTAGAGGGTAACCGATCACCATGAAAGAGCCATGACAAAATGTGTCAGACATGGCACTAAAGCTGGAACTTAAGAATTCACAGCTGTAATCTTCCACATAAAGCAGAGTATTGGAACTGGAACTGTGTATGGATGTAAATTCTCATAACCTAAATCTTCCCAAATGATACCATCATTTTACAAGGATTAGTTTCTCTTACTTCTAGTTTTAATTTGATTTCTCTTTACATGAACCAATACTTCATGAAGAAAAAATCTGTAAGTGAGCTGTAAGATGCCTGGTCTCCTATTTTACATTAATAAATGCTTACGGAAGAAAAATTTTCATGAGTGAAAAATTGTTTAAAAAATGCTTTTATTGTAATGATGTGATGTGTGTGTGTTGGGAAATGTAAATGTTCATTCTGCATCCTAGAAAAGTTAAACACCTTAGATCTTCTTGTAGCAGAAATTACAAATATCTGTTAAAAAATCTGACCTCAGTCCATGGAATGAAGATTTCTTAGTCACCTAGCCATAACTCTAGTGCTATAAATATTTTAATGTCCATTTATATCTCATTGAATTTTGGAAATAGGAACAAACTCATAAAGCAGAAAGCCCTATTCATGAAAACAATTTTCAGTGACTTTAGCCATCAAAGTTGTCTTCAGCTTGAAGAAAAATTATTTTTCATCATAGCCTTGGAGGAAGTAAATTATGTAACTTGTTCACTCAAGATTGATGCTGGAAATCATTGCATTTTGGTTTCTATTTTGAAACATTTGAGGTAGGTACTAAAGTTTTATATTGTGGCAACTCCATTTACTAAAATTTATTTTGTAGTCATTTTATTCCTTCTATGGCTTTTGCTCAGCTTCTATTGTGCCTTTACCTAGTAATAGGTATTTTTCTGATGTAATATATAGAATGGCCTTCCCATCATTGAAGTGTCCCATTGGTTATTAAAATATTAGAACATGTCTGATCATACTTTTCAAGTAAGGGTGTCAGTGAAAGGGTGGTCAGTTGTTGTTCGTGGTTTTGATTTTCATCGTTTCACAAAATCCCTTGTTGTTTTGTTGTTTGTTATTCATCCTGGCTTGGATGTCAGTAATGATTCAGAGATACATTTGAACTCATTGTGCTCATATGTCTGCCACCTGAGCTCAAGTTCAAGGGTAGATGATGAACTCCCAATGTGTTCTGTTTTCTCAACACAATTTAACAATGTTAATGTTAAAATGACTGAAAATGTAATTATAAGAAACATTAAATACCTCATGTGTGTATTCAAAAAATATTTTCATTTATGTGATATTAATATAATAAAGATAATCAGCAATCAGTTGTATATTTCATACCATAACATGATATGTTCTACTGGGATTAAGGTTAGGATTCTTGCCTAGTATACAACAGTTTCTTCCCACAGAACTCTATCGGTGATGATCAAATTTGATTTGAAGAAATAGTACATCAGTAAATTATTGTCTTTTTTCAGATTGTAAATGTAAATTTTTTCAAAGTATAAGGACCCAGGACATCTTGAATAATAATTCTTCTTTACATAGAAACATATTTACACCATCATACATATCTAATTAGTTCATTCTGCGGGCTAAATATTTATTTCTAACACTTTCTTAAAATATAAGAATTGTGGGCTGGAGAGATGGGTCAGTGGTTAAGAGCATTGCCTGCTCTTCCAGAGGTCCTGAGTTCAATTCCTGTCAACCACTTGATGAGACGCCATGCTCCCGGCTCCTGGGCAGACACGCCATGAAGCAAGCCGCCAGGTTAGACATGCTGAACCTTTCCCGGTAAGACCGGTGCTCACCGATTATTAGAGATGGGTTGATCGGGATAACAGAATTAGCCAGTAAGGGCTAGGGCTAAAGGGCCAAGCAGTGTTTAAAAGAATACAGTGTCCGTGTAATTATTTCGGGGCATAAGCTAGCTGGGCAGGCGGCCGGGGTGTTGGGGACACAGCCCCGCCGCTACCCTTATTAATACACTTATTTCATGCTAGTTTCTGATTTGCTTCAATTTGGTAACAACAGAGAGAACCACAATTATCTAGTATTTAACTACATTAGAGACCTGAGAAGGATATAATACTACCTGAGTAAACAGAAAGTATAGTGTTCATCTATCTCCATGCAGAAATCTCAAGTCCAAATAGATCAAAACATAAAAACAATCACACTGAACTTCAGAGAAGTGAAAGTGGGAAGTACACTTGAACACATTGGTACAGGAGACCACTTTCTAAATATAACCCCAGCAGCATGAAATAATAATAATAATAATAATAATAATAATAATAACAACAATAATAATAATAGCAATATTTAATAGATGGGACCACCTAAAACTGAGAACATTCTGAAAAGCAAAAGAAATGTTTAATAAAATGGCAGCCTACAAGACAGAAAAAGGTCTTCTTCAACCCCACTTCAAACAGACGGCTGATTCCAAAATATATAAAAAGCTCAAGGAACTTGTCATCAGAAGAACAAATAAGCCAAGGGGAAAAAATTGTACAGACTTAAACAGAAAATTCTAAACAGATGACTATAAAATGACTGAAAGACACTTAAGGAAATGCTCAGCATCCTTAGCCATTAAAGAAATGTAAAAACAACTCTGAGATCCCACATTACACCTGTAAGAATAGCCATGATCAAAAACACTGAGGACAGTTTATACTAGAGAGGATGTGGGGTGAAGGTAAAACTTCTACATTGCTGGTGGGAATGCAAACTGGTACAATCACTTTAGAAATCAGAATGGTGATTTCTCTGAAAATTAGGACACAACCTACCTCAAGACCTAGCAATAGCACTTATGGGTATAACAAATGATTCTCAATCATATCACAAGGGCATGTGTGCAGCTATATCCATATCAGCACTATTTGTATTAGCCTGGTAACAACCTAAACACTCCCTGACCAAAGAATGGATGAGGAAAATGTGCTGCATTTACACAATGGAGTACCACACAACAGAAAAAAATATGACATTTGGAAATTGCAAGCAAATTTATGCATCAACACATCATATTGAGTGAGGTAACCCAGACCCAGAAATACAAATATACAATGTTCTCACTCATAAGTGGCTTTTAGACCTAAAGCAAAGAAAACCAGCCTACAATTCTCAACCCCAGAGAACCTAGATAACAAAGAGGAATCTAAGACAGACATACATGGATCTAATCTACATGGAAAGTAGAAAAAGACAGAATCTTATGAACTAATT